GGTTGCGATTGGGAGACCGGTTGGAATGGAGGACTTGGACATCATCGTCGTCATCTTCAATGATGGTGGTCATCCTGTTGAAATTCATGTCTGAAAAAGAACAAAGCAACTAATAACCGGTTAGTTCTTAAGCCTTGTACATAAATAGGGAAAATGAAAGTAAGAAGCTTAAGAGAAGATGATCGACCTGGACGAGGAGAACTGGCCTCAGCATGACCATCCGGGGAATTTGCCCGGTCATCTTCTGCGTCATGGGTCGCAGATTCACCCCCATCCGGGTTAGGTAACCGGTATACCCATCCACCATAGGCGTATGGCTTACCGGTCACAGGATCACCCTTGAGAAGTTTCTCGCAGGCATCTTCAAGCTCAGGGGTAGGCTCCGGGTAAACCCTTTCAGGTTTTATTACCCGGTCAGCCCACTCAGGGTTAGTGAAAGGAAATTGGTCAGAGGGAAACTCAATAAAAACGAATCTTTGTTTCCATCTCTTATGGCTGGGGGGAAGACCGGTCACAAACCCCCTCTTATTGCGGGAATGGAAATAGACGAAGCCCGGGCAGTTACTAGTCCCGGGCAAGACTTCGTACATGTGGAGAAAAAGCTCAAGGGAAGGGTCGATTTTCAAATTTTCACATATATTTACAAAACAATTCAAAAACCGGTGAGCATTTGGAGTAAGCTGGCCGGGAAGAATCTTGAACTTGTTACAGATTTCTACGAGGAGGAGGCGGAGAGGAAAAATAATACCTCCCTCCAGAGACGCAATATGGAAACCCAACCGGGTTCCCTGGTGGGGTTCAATGATGTTGGGCCAGGTGGTTGTGGAAAGGACTTTGTAGCCCGGTGGGAGGATGGTACGGACCTCGGCCAGAACCTTTTTGGTAACCCTAGAGGAATCTTTGAATACCGGTCTAACATCAAGGGCTAGGAAGCCCAAAGATCCCAGTCGTTCTTCCCATTGCTCCCAGCTGAGGACCTTGGGATTGAATCGACCGGGCAGTTGGTTCAAAGGAACAGGCTCCTGGGCAACTATTTCCTGGGCCTGGGAGCTAGGTTGGTGAGAGGGGCGGCGAATCAAAGGAGTGACAGGGGGAGAAGAAGACTCAGATTGGTTAGAGAAAGAGGGTTGAGAACCCGATCCATAAGATTGACCGGATACATTTTGTGAGTCAGAGGAAGACATGACTTCAGCCTACCGGTCAAAAATGGAAAGATGGAAGAATTAAAAGACTAGGAGGACTGGAGGACTTACTTGGCAGAAGGTTAGAGAGAGAAAGTAGACCGGTTAAAACTTGAGGAGCGAAGGAGAGAAGTGAAGAAATGAGATGGGTTGGAGGGGTATTTATAGGAGAGAGAGAGGCGGTTTGGAGCTCGAGGCGACAGGTGGGAGAAAGAGCGCCTGACACGTAGAAGAGGTTGTGATTAGGAGGGAAAATTTGAATTTTGAATGTGGAAGGTGAGAGGTTTTGGGGGGAAATTCCAAAACTAAAAGGCCAGGCTCAACGTTTGGACTCCCACAAATCCAAACGGACAGGTCATACAGCGTAGTCTACAAATCCATAAGTGCCAGGTCTGGTATGAAGACGGTGAATCCAAGAAATGGGCAGGTCTCCATGGAAAGGTCATGGGAATGGCTTGACAATTTCAAAGAAGGACAGGACAGGTCTTGAAAAAGAAAGGCTTGACAATCAGAAGAAAGACAGGTCTTGAAAGAGAAAGGTATGATAATTACAAAAGTGACGGGTCTAAAAGGACAGGTCAACAAGAAGGACAGGTCAACGAGAATGACTTGATGATTTCAGAAAAGGATAGGTCATGGGAATGACTTGATAATTTAGAAGAAGGACAGGTCATGGGAATGACTTGATGATTTCAAAGAAGGACAGGTCATGGGAATGACTTGATGATTTCAAAGAAGGACAGGTCATGGGAATGACTTGGTAATTTCAAAGAAGGACAGGTCATGAGAATGACTTGATGATTTCAAAAGTGATAGATCAACATAAATATACTTCCCGCCCTTGATGACTTCCTCACAAGGCCGGTAAGTGGAGGACTTCTTGATGGGTATATCC